ATAGACTGTTTTAGATAGAGCTTCTAATTATTATATTAAAAACCCAAGACTAGTTTAAAAAATAGTTTCCTAAATACAGGAATCCTGTTTTATGTACATTGTGTCTTGGAAGGTACATCTGTCTATTTTGCATCCCCTCTTGGGGAAGAAATCTCTCTCAGTTCTAGGAAATTGATCATTATCATCATCAATATTCCTCATCTGTTTCTGGATTACATTGTCTGATCATCAAAGGGACAAGGCCTAACTGATTTTTAAACAAAACCAACATTTCCATTTTGGCTAGGCTCTCCATATTTATGCTCCCCACTCCCACCCCCTGGCTTAAAGCAAATCTTTTGCTAGATGCTATTTCCTGATTTATACTTCCTCAAATAAATATGCAACTGCAAAGGAGGTTTGACTAGTGCTTGGTCTTACAGAAAATATTTATATGGGTTCAAGCCCATAATCTCATTAGTGTTGATCAGTACTATTTCACAGAATTGAAAGGATGGTTAGTGATTAATAATGTAAATAAGATTGTAGCGACACTTGCAAAGAATCCGAGCAAGAATCTTTTAAATGAAACGGTTCCTTTAAATCAATACATTGTGTAATTAAGTATTGTCATATGTTCATTTGCATAACATGAGGTACACTTATATTGTATATATACTGCAATTTTTCCTCTTTAACACAGGAGAAAAATGTAACTCTGTAAATGGCTCCTGACTGCTTCGGTTTGAGAGAAGAACTGACAATTTACCCCCAGATGAGTCTCTGAGAGCTTAATTGGAGTTATTATCTACTACTAAATCATCTTTAAGGCAAGTTTGCTTTCACATTTGTCAAATGTAGGCATTCTGGACTCCTCTGATCAAAACTTTAGGTCATTATTCCAACTAAAGAGGCCCCAGGTAATGGGGAGGGAAAAGCATAGCTTACTGTCAACTAAATGAAAGTTTGCTTTTGTAGAGCACTTTCTAATTTATGCGGTGCTGCTAACTGTATTTCGTTTAATCTTCCGAACAAACCCGTGAAGCAGTGAGTGGTTCTGTGCTCTCCTCCTTGTTTCATAGATAGAGGCCAGAGACTTGAAAAGACTAAACAAATTGCCAGGAATCACAAACAGTAAGTGCCACAGTCAGAACTGGGATCTAGATTTTATGACTCAAGTGTCTCAGCTTGCTGAGAAGAGGGAAAGCACCACTCCCAAGGTGGAGAATATTAAAATGCATTTGTTATACTCAAAGTTAATAGCACATTTCTTTTTAAGCCATCTTAACCAGACTCAACAACATTTATTGGAGGGATTACTACCTGATTGCATTACCTCACCCTTCCTAAACATAGGAAATTTCTATTTTTCCCTATAGACCATTTCACCGTCAGAAGATTGAGCTAAATCTATGTTTAAAATGTTAATCGGATGGCATGCCGTCTTAAACAAAATTCTCCTGTGATTTTAGTTACTCCTATATTCTTATAAGGAAATGTGAACCCTTGAATCTATTTCCCTATTTTCTTCCCTCAGGGATTCCTTATTGGTTTAAATAATGCTAGCCCTATTGGATGAGTTTCTGGTGTAGTGGGGGGCCATGTGCTAGACCTGCAGAGGGGTTTGTATGTCCCATTAGATGACTCTTAATTTGACTGCATGGCTAACTGTATACAGATAAGGCTTTCCATATCCCAGGATGAATGTCTGCCGTTAGCCACCCCCTGCCCGTGATGCTGACACACATGTGTACATGACCATGAATTGTAACATACCCAAGGACTGTTGTAGGGTATGCAATTTCATTGCTTTTCCCAACGGATATCTAACTACCACCTAATTTATTTTAGTATTCCCCATGTCTCTAAAGATGCCTTTCTTCCCTAAAATGTTAAAAAGGAAAGGAAGAATGAATGGACCGAAGGAGAATGAATTATGTAAACTTTAAAAGATGCTCCAAAATAGGTGAAAAGTGTTTGTGGGCTGAATCATTTTGAGTCTGGGTTTCCTACCTTGCCTTAATTTTTCTTCAGTTCCCTCTCAGTTTTTGTATTTAATTCCTACACTGTTTTAAACATTTCACTTCTCACTATGTATTCTATACTACACATACCATAATAAACACTGGCTCTGATCCTAACTTAGGCTCGATTTAAAATAGAAGTACTTAAGAATCTGAGCAAAGGGAAAAAAGCATACTAACACTCATAAGACACATTCTTTTCTCACTCCTTCCTCAGCCTATTGCCCTGGGCAGTAAATTATACAGTATATAACCAGTTTATTATTTGCTGTTTTCTTTCATTCTGCTGAGAAAAGCTACCATTGCTGGCAAACCAACAGCAAATCTTAAAATGAAATCCAATGTATTGCAGGTATGTTTGCCGAATGTGTTCAACATATAACATGAATGTGATTTATATTTGTCTTTCAATTATTTTTTTTTCAGCTGGAATCAACAGAAATGTACCGAGTTCTTAAAAAATTAAATGGGTTGATCAGAAATGCCATAAGAAAAGCAAGAAGTGATTCTTGCTCTCCTCTCCCCGTGAAAATGAAACAATAACCGAACAACTATTTAAAGATATCTGTTTTTTTCAAAGGGAAAAGCAGATATTTAAAAAGCATTGAAATTTGTTATTTGAAATTGTGCTCAGCTAATACTTTGTATTTTTAGATTCTTGGAAAATATTCAAATTTTTCTCTTACAGACTTAATGGATCCCCACCCCTCCTTTCCCCCTCACCCATGAATTCTGATTACTCTGTGTTTTGGGCCTTGTCTTCTATAAAATGCACCATTTTCACTCACAGCTTAACACAGCTTTGGTGTCCTTAATATGACATACTGTATGTAATGTTAGCTGTTTAAAGCTGGAGATCAGACTGTGCATAATACCATACGTAGTTTGGATTATATAAACACTGCAGGAAGAAGGGGGAGACAGGGCCCTTCTGTGTACAAATTTCAGATTGCTCGCTGTATGCCTGTTTAGAATGTTGAATACTCCTAACTAGGCAGTGATGAAGTTATTTCTTTAGTGACTGTGACTTCTGGAACTATAATGACAAAAGTGTTTCAACCAAAAATAATTTAAAGATAATGTTGATAATTAACATATTTGCTTTATGTGATTTTCTACTTACTACTTTGGGAGTTTTTTTTTAAATAAATATTTTATTTACTTATTCATGAGAAACACGGGGTGGGCGGGGGGTGGGGAGAGGCATAGACAGGGGCAGAGGGAGAAGCAGGCTCCATGCAGGGAGCCTGACACAGGACTCGATCCTGGGTCTCCAGGATCAGGCCTTGGGCTGAAGACAGTGCTAAACCGCTGAGCTAGCCAGGCTGCCCTACTTTGGGAGCTTTGAGGATAGAAGGGAAAATGAATTTTTGTCTTCAAAGCCCAGTTTAAGCAATTTCATAAAAAACTTGGACAATATAGCTTAAAGGAGCCAAAGACCAAAGAAGGTGATATAAATTATAAATTTCATCCACTATACATTTTGCCTATTATCAAGGAGTCTGAGGCAGGGAATTGTACCAGTGTTTCCCTAGGATTATTTATTTTATATCTTAATATTTCAGATTAGTTAGACTATTGTGGAATTTTTTTTTTGTTTGTGTCATTTTTATTTTTAAGGTTGCTGTCTGCCTTTTCATCTGTTGTTGAAAGATTGGTAACTTATGCATTTCATTTCAAGAAAAATTAAAACATACCACCATATTTTTCAGCAATGAGACGTTTCAGAGTGAAGAAATAGGTCAATACTTTTCAGTTTAATAAGTTTATATTTTATTATAAATATTCATATTCTAGTTTGAGGAGGACTTCAAGGCGGCTGCTATGTTTACTGCTCAAATATCAGCACAATAATAATCAGGCCTTTGAAACTATGGGTGAAAATCCAGCGAATTTCAGTTGTCTTTCCTTTATGTAGAAAGGATGTGTGGCATTTTGCGTTCTGTCCCTTTTCCTAAAGAGCTCTAACTAGAGACACTCCTCTCCGGGGGTATCTTTATATTGGGAAGCTCTGCATGAGGTTGAAATTTTTATGGGGAACTTGTTTAAAACACAGTTAAAGGCGGGCTTGCTACAGCAAGGTTAGGGGTTGCCAATAAATCCATTTATAGCAACTTCTGTATTCCCAGCTCCAGACACACCACTGGGGTGACCCGTACCGTTTCCGAAGGCCACACAAGGCAGCAGCAGTCAGTCCTGCCTGCTCTCTGGGTGACCGAGGCTGGTCCCGCAGCCTCCGGCTGTGGAGGGGCCCGGGCCCGAACCCCCCCCCCCCCCCCCCCCCCGGCTTGAATGCACCGCCTGGGAGCTGCGGGGTGCCGGTGATCCCCGACCTGGCTTTTGCTCTGCTGGGAAAGAACAAGACATCTTGGGAACTTGGGAATTTAGTTTACTGCTCCCGACCGAAGCAATAATAACATCTTTGTTTCTCCCCCTCGCCCGGCTCCCTCCTCCCGCCGACAGGAGCGCGCGGCGGGCCCCGCGGAGCAGCCGGACGGCCGGGCAGCCCCGAGCGCCAGGGGGCGCGCCCCGCCCCGCCCCGCCCGCCGGGCCCCGGAGAGGCGCGGGGAGATGCCCCCTGCGCCGCGCGGCCCCCTGAGCTCGCCCGAGCCCCCGAGAGTGGGCGGCCGCGCGGGCGCGTGGAGCGGGCGGAGCGGGCGGAGCGGGCGGAGGGCAAGCCCGGGGGCCGCACAGACTGCGCTCCGCGGCTCGCTCCGCCCGCCCTCCCCGGCCGTCTGCGGAGGCCGTCTGCGGAGGCCGTCTGCGGAGCGCGGCGGGGGCTGCGGGGCTGCGGGGCTGCGGACCACTCGGCAGGTCGGGCCCCGGGGGCGCGGGGGCGGGGGCGCGGGAGCCCGGGCGGGGCGGGCGCGCGGGGAAGGTGCCTCGGGAACACGCGCGGGGCGGGGCCTGGCGCTGCCAATGAGGCCCGGGGGTGGGCCGCGCGGGCGGGGCGGGGCGGGGCGGGGCGGGGCGCCGGGAGCCGGGAGGCGGCGGCGCACCGAGGCCGGGCGCTGGCGGGGAGCCGCGCCGCGGGGCTGGAAACTTTCCCGGCAGGTAACTCCCGCCGCCCTGGCGCCGCCGCCGGCTTCGCTGGGTCCGGGCGGGGCCCGCTGCAGCCGCGCCCCGGGGCGAGGGGTCCGCGCGGGAGGAGAGGGCGCTGCGGCCGGAGGCGAGGCAAGTGCGAAAGTTTCTGGAGCCCGCCCTCCGCCCTCCGCGCCGGCGCCCCCGGGAGCTGTCGGGGACGGGCTTGGGCACGTCGGGCGCCGGCTCGGCCCCGCGGGCTGGAGGGGCCCCGGGAGGCGGGCGGGGGCGCGTGGCCCGCGGCGTGGGGGCGCCGGGGCGCCGCGTCCCTGCCGAGGCACGGCGAGGAGCGGCCCCGCGATGTCGGTGGCGGGCGGGAGGGGCGAGGCTCGTCGGAGGACCGTGGCTCCCGGGTCCCCGCGCAGGGCGCAGGGTCCCTCGGGGCGCTCGGGGGCGCTTGGGGCGGGGGCGCGGGCGCGGGGCGCGGGGGCTGGGGCCCGCCGGGCGCGGCCGCCTTCCGGACGCCCGGCCGCGGAGGAAGCCCCAGGCATTGTGTGGCTCCGGGTCGCAGCCGCAGCGAACTTCCTCGACTCCGCGGGCTGCGGGAGGGCGCGCGGCGGGGGCGGGGGCGGGGGCGGCGGCGGCGGCGGCCCGGGTCGGCGCCGCGGGGCCTCGTGGCGCGTCGGAAGCGCTGCCCCGCGGGGCTCAGCCGGGGAGCGAGGGGGCCGCCCTCCCCCTGAACTTGACCCGGAGGAGCGCGGTCGGGCGGGTCACCAGGTCAGGGCCCGCCGGACCCAGCCGCGGGCCTCGACCTCGGGCCTGGGGCTGCGGAGGGGGCACGAGTGAGGAGGCGGAGCGGCTGAGAGGGAAGGAGCAACCCGGGAGCTGGGCTCAGAGAGTTGGTGGGATTTTTTTTTTTTTCCTTTTTTGAGAGTTGGCATTCCTCCATAGTGGAAACGAGGGGAGTCTGCATCTCTCCAGGCCCTCCCCCCCCCCCCGCCCCGGGTCACGGTTATTCCTGCCAGGCTGGCACTCCTGGGGGGGGGGGGCGGGGCGCGGAGCTCTCCGGCCGCTCCGAGGCGGTTCAGATCTGCTACCGCGAGGAGTTTGGACGCTAACAGCCGCTTCTTGGTTGCTGGAACGGGGGCATTTATGAGCGACGGAGAGACGGTCGTGACGGTGCCCGCCTGGATGCTTTACTCATCTAATCTACTTAGAGATTCACGAGGGACCTTCCCGAGAGGATGCCAGTTTCTGCGGTTTGTCAGCCACGGCGCATGGCGGGTGTCAGGACTCCCGGTGCACGGATCCTGCTGGAATTGAGATGAAAAGTGTGCAGGAGTAGAGGAAATGTGGTATCTGACATCCTTCAGGACTTCCTCCTGGCGCTGCTCCTCTTACCTGCCAAGTGAACTTGGTCCAGGCTTCCGGACTGTTGTGGTCTGACAATAAGGGATGGGAAATAGTGTCATCCATTTCAGTGGAGGCAGGAAAGTCCAGAAATAAGTGTAAGGTTACTTTTTCATGACCCTGTCTCTTTAGCTGTGATGCCACAAACTTTTAACTTTTGCTGGGACTTGGAAGCAGTGTTTTTCTGCTTTCCTGGTTTAACCACCAGAATGTCCAAATTATCATAATTTATGTCCATCGTGGAACTAAAGCATAGCTGATTCATAGTCAGCCCTTTTCTGCTTCCCATAAGACCTGTAGAAAAAAGAACATTTTGTCTCTTTTCACCACACACCATTTATTTGGTGCCATACTGGGTTTTTGATACTGGATGATTGAGGGCACTATTTTTTTTGCAGACAATGAAATTGTCTTGATTAAATTGTCCATTTTTAGGCAACATTCCCCCTCAGAGTTGCTGATTAATTCTTTATCAAACCAGTATCCCTGGGCTGATATAACTATAATCCACGTTATAAGGACGCCTGCCAGCACAGCTGGAGGTTAATGTTATGTCAATGTTTCCTTTAGACATTTCCAACCTGATCCTGAAGGTTTTGCCTAGGTTGGATTGAGGGTAAGCTGTGAACCTCACGGTCAGAGAAGTGGCTTTATTTTAATCTTTCTGATGAAAAGTTTAGTTACAGGAGTAAAATTTACAAATTCAAAATGAAGCAGAGGGTGTGTGTGTGTGTGTGTGTGTGTGTGTGTTGGTGGAGAGGGATTTTAGTCTCCAGGATAACTTTTTGTCTTTTATTTTTTATTTTATTTTATTTTTTAAATATTTTATTTATTTATTCATGAGAGACACAGGCAGAGGGAGATGCAGGCTCTATGCAGGGAGCCTGATGTGGGACTCGATCCCGGGTCTCCAGGATCAGGCCCTGGGCCAAAGGCAGGCTCTAAACCGCTGAGCCACCCAGGGATCCCTGACTGTCTTTTAAACGTGTATTTCAGTGGTGGAAAATTAGAACCTTCCCCCGACCAGTTTACAAAGTGTTTTGTATACAAGGCTCTAACACCTTTCTGGTTTTTTCATCATCATCATCATCATCTCTAAAATGGGATTATCTTTCAACACTAAACTTCTCTAAGACTTGGAGAAATGTGCTTAAGCACAGGTTACAGAATGCCTACTATTAGCACAGTGCTTTGGGGTTTACAAAGGTCTTTATGTATTTTAACCCTTAGTTCTCAGGTTAGTAAACTGAGGCTGAGCCAGTTAGATCAGCTTGCTGGGTTTCATCTATAAGTGGTGGAGTTGGACTTGTACCTGGATCTGCTCATTCTCCTTATCCCCTCTCCCTTTATTTATGGAGTCACCTGAGGATTGGCTAAGACTTGACAAACAGACTAATGCTAATATGTGGCAGTTTCTTATAGTATTTCTTTTATGGGTTCTTCTGGTTTCAGAACCCCAGGGTTAACATCTATGCTTTGATGTCAGAGATTAAAAACAGATCAGTAACAATGGTAATAAAACTTTCTCCCCGAGAGAGCTTCAGAAATTCACATACCTCAAACTAATCATTTGTTTATTTTCAACTTCTTTTTTATTAAGTAGGCTTCAGGGTCTAGTGTGATTTATAATCCAGACTAGTAACCCAGACAGCATTCTTAAGGAAATCACTTCTCAGATCCATATGTCTTTTTTAAAAATAAGAAATGAAGATATCATTTGCCTTTCATCTTGGTACCTCTCAGCGGAATTACAAAGCCTGGACAAACGTCCCTTTTTTGGTGTCATCATTCTTGGGCTCTTTCTGCTGATGTTTGGAGAAGTCTAATTCTGCAGCACTTTCTGTGCTACATAAATTCTTCCCTCCTGCTGTTGGTTTAACGGTAAAGAAGTAAGTAGTAGGCTGCAGGTGACCCATTTTCACTGTGACTCTAAATGTTTGTACTGTGTCCTGCTTGCCTATTTAAGAGCACTGAGCGCAACTTGACACTCATCTGGAAGCTGGTATGGATTTTCTTTAAAAGGTTCTAAAATAAAATTATGTGCTAAGCTATAGGCTCTTTTATGTCTGAGGAGCCTGTCCATCTTTAGCTTTTTAAACTTATTCTCAGAAGACTGCCTCTTTAGAATATTAAGCAGTCGGGTTTAAACCTCAAAAGAGAGTATGTACCCATAAGTACGATTGACTGTAAAGGCTCACTCACACGCGTGTGAGTGGAGAGAGCATGATGAAGCAGTATTTGGTTGTGAAGTTGGGAGACTATCAACATACCAGAAGGGAACAAGAGCAGCAAAACAGAAGAAGAGCTTCTGGTTTTTTATTATCGGGAGACTGGATTTTATTTTATTTTATTAAAGATTTTTAATTTATTTATTCATCAGAGAGAGAGAGAGAGAGAGAGAGGGGCAGAGAGAGAAGCAGGCTCCATGCAGGGAGCCTGACATGGGTGGGACTCGATCCTGGGTCTCCAGGATCACGCCCTTGGCTGGAGGTGGTGCTAAACCGCTGAGCCACCCGGGCTGCCCGGGAGACTGGATTTGAAATGATAGAGGAAGACTTTTGATAAAGAAGGCTCTCAGGAAAAATTATCTTGTGGAGAGTGAGTGAAAGGACTTCTGGTTTGTTTGGCTGTGGTATTGATGGCACTTGCCCTTCTACAATAGATATTGTCTTTAAGGGTTCTTGCAGGTATGTATGACCAAGAAGAATATTCTGGGAGGAAGAGTCCCATGGGCAAGAATGTCAAGGACAAGAAAATTAATACAGAGGGATGGCACAGTCCCTGGATTTTAGCACAGGTTTTTGCCACTACCATGAAGGAATTTGTTAGTAAAAATCTTCCAGCCACAGTTGTATGTAGATGTGAACCCAGTACGTTCAGTCAGATAGCCCAGAGCCACAGTGACTCACCACCTTCCCTGCTCCACCCAGCACACCTAGGGTTACTTGCCTATCATGACAGTGGCTTATTACCTCTGGGAGTCCGGGTCGTGGGGTGGGGCTGTCTCTAACACCTGGTTATGCTTTTTTTTCATGCATATATACTCATGCAAAAACAGGATCCTTTATACATGTGCTTTTGAAGAAATGTGAGAAAGGTTTGACATATATTTGCACAGTTTAGAATATAGTATATACTTACATAATGTGCTTTTTTCCCCTCTTGTCATATCAGTATATTCTTCTTTGGTACTGTTTTAGTGGCTCTTTGGTAAATCCATTACATACATTACCATAATTTATTTAACCAGTCTATTTGGACATTTAGGTGTGTTGAGAAGAAAGATCTCTTAGGCTATGAGAGCCCTTTGGCTCAGATGTGTTTTACTCATCATTGAATTAGAAGGCCCAGCACACTGCCCCACACAGGGGCACCTGGCTGCTGGTAGCTTCAAAACCTCACATCATCAAGAAACTGATTCTTTGCTCTTAGTTCCAATTTGGGAAAATCCTGGAGAGAACCCAGATTGGCCTAATGCCAACCAAAGGAGAGTTAAGGTTGGCAGTCTCCATTAGACCCACAAGATGGGACTGTGGGGAGACAAAGTGTCCCACAAAGAAGGGGGTTATTGTTAATGGAAGAGGGAGGAAGCTGTCTAAACAAAAAGAGCTAGCTGTTTCATG